CTCTTGAGCTGGAAACAGTACCCCCCGATGAAAACAGTGAAGATGATGAACGAATGATGAAAATCAAGAAAATCATGAAAATCAGGAACACTTTGAGCTGGAAACAGTACCACCATGAAAATCATGAAAAGCATGAAAAGCATGAAAATCATGAAAATCATGAAAAAGCATGAAAAGCATGAAAAGCATGAAAAGCATGGAGAAACGACGCTGATGATGAAGGCGATGTTGTAGCCCCAACAATTATAAGAAGTACTTCGAACAAGAAAAAACAATAATAATAGCGGCAACAGCAGCAGTAGTCATAACACTGAAAGATACAATGAAAGTGAAACAATACTCTAATGTAATATTAGGAGTAACAGGAGTGGTTGAACATAAAGAGCTCCTAGTACTCGTAATAGGTCTTGTAAAAATGATGAGAATATGAATAACCATTGACCCTCTGGCTTCTTTCCTTCCATCCTGATTCTTTCCTGTCTTCCCTCCTTCCTTCCTTCCTTCCTTCCTTCCTTCCTTCCATCCTTCTCTCGTTCCTGCCAGGATACAGGGTCGAAGCCCAAGCATCAAAAAGAACATTCTGGATTGGTGTACTCCCCAGAAAATAGGCAATAAGTTTCTTTTGATGCTTATAAAGTTTTTTGTGATGCTTATGAAGTTTCTTTAACCCCTGTCCCTTTCACTGAGCTGCGTTGACAGACAACAAGATGTGCCAAGTGTGAGGTGCGACCCTGAAAAAAGCATGCACAAACGAACAAACACTTGCGCAAATATCCTCACAGCCACGCCTCAAGCGTCGGCACTGGCTTAGAAAATCAACGCCTCAAAACGAAGCAAAATCACCGTCTGAATGCTCCTGATTTCTTGTGATGTCCCCTTGCAGGTACAGAGTTTAGAACGCTGAAAAATCTTCCCTCCCGGCAATGCCCGGATCTTGTTTCCAGTACAATTGGCCGAAAACTCTGGGTGAAAAGGGGGACACACACAAAAAGCCCCTGAGGCTGGAGGCTGTAGTTTGGGCCTGCGTACTCTCATGTTGACACCACAGCCTCAAGGCTTTCCGTGTGGGTGCAACTCTGTCACCAAAAGTTATTCACAGCGTACATGCAAAAATAGATCCTGCTCATGGATGGCTGCCCCATAGCTTGGGAGTTTGGGAGCTTGGGAGCATCCGGCAGCTCATGTTCGGCTTGGTGCCAAAAAAAATGCTCTCTTTCACCAGCAAATTACCGACTGAATGCGCCTGAATTCTTGGGATGTCCCTCGCCAGACTTGGAATTGTGTTGGCAAGGGGCCTTCTGACCATCTGGTGGAACTAACCACTTGTTACCGTCTTGTGTCTGTGAAAGTGCATGGTGTAAATTATGCATCATTATCCCACTCATTGCGGGTTTAGTTTTTACGGCAGCAGCAAGGTTGTTTAGTTGACCTAACATGCAAACAAAACTTTCAAGACCTCTCATCATAACGTTGTCGTGCCTGAAGCTTCTCAGGGGAATCATATTAAACATGCTGCGACATGATTCATCAACAAAAAACCCAGCTCCCTTGCACGCACTGCAGCAGCACATCCAGCATCCAGAGAACAAGAAAATTGTAGTCTCACCAGCTGGACGTTTCGAAAATTTCCTGCTCTGCAAAGATGTGTTGGCTGCTTAGCAAGACAAAGTCAACCATGCTCTCCACACCTGAAGAAAGCAGGAAACGTAGTACAAGTACGTAGTACAAGTCATTCTCCTTGTCAAAGTAGCATGTTTGTGTAACGGATGCCCGGCAGATGCTCAGCTAACACGCCGATCTTAGAATGTTGGGCAAGAAGCCTTGCGTTGCTGTCGCACAATGCCTTCATACTTCCGTCAAAGCAGCTGGACCCTACCGTACTGCAATATCATTTTCAAACTGGGTAGATTGCTAATGGGACTGAATGCCTGCTCCACCGGGTATCCATCCGCCAGCAAACCCAAGCGCTGAAACTTCCGCAAAAGGGATAGGTGTGCTTTGCGAACAGCATCTCCCGGCAAGAAGCTCCTGGGCAAAGTGAAAGTGCCTGAGAATGCTGGTGAAGGCCATTTGTGTTTGTCTTGAACGGTGGAGCACTTGGAACAATGTAGAAACCTCGCCAAGTCATACAGAATTGATTCAGGATGGTTGTTTTTACTGATTGCTTTCTAGTTGATCTCAACAAAGCAGAAACGCCAGCAGTGGGAAGCTGGAGGCAGAGAGCAGGAAGCAGAGAACACATAGCAAGAGGCAAAGGCCGAAGGTGGGAGGTGCTGATGAGCGAAATCAGGCAGCTGAAGCCAAAAGTACCAAGACCAGACAGAAAGAAGACTCGCCAAACTACAGCCCAGCAACATTACCATAGTACGCAGTACAGCTGAATCAGCACAATAATGAAAAAGCGGCAGCTGTGGGTAAGCAGGCGAGGGTACCACAAGGGTTCAAGACTCAAAAAACAAAATCACAAATCGTGTTGGTAGCATGTTACATCAGTATTGGTGCTTGTGGGGCTTGTGCCGCACCACGACCACGACCACGACCACGACCACGACCACGACCACGACCACGACCACGACCACCACCACCACCACCACCACCACAACCACCACCACCACCACAACCACAACCATCACCGCCGCCACCGCCACCGCCACCCCCACCCCCACCACCACCACCAGCACCAGCACCAGCACCAGCACCAGCAGCAGCAGCAGCAGCAGCACCACCACCACCACCACCACGAGGTGGCAGTGGCAGCAGCAGTCAGTAGCTTTGCGAGACCAAGAAAATAAAAACAACAAATCCCAAATCGTAGCAAGACAGAAGCAAGGCGACAAAGCACCAGGAGACCCGGCGTGACAGCCCCCAAAAAAAGCAGCAACAATTCTGCCACCTCAGACCGTGAACTTTTCGAAAGCACAAAGACTACTCCCATTGCACCCCAAGAGGACTGAAAAACCACTCCGTCCAGTCCATCGAGGCACCATAAGCAGGAATTGTGGTCTCCACGAGCACGCGCACAGGGGAAAAAAGAACGGATCAAAGCCGCTCCCCTACTGGATTCCGGCTCTATGGCCGTAGATTTGTGCCTGTACCCCAGCTCGTGATGTGCACACCCGACTGCAGCTCAACTATGCGGCCTATGAACTGCATGGAAATAATCCCACTTGAGGCACTGACCAGCTGTCATGAGTTTGTACACTCTACGTGCCATGTCCTGATTCTAATTAGCGCTTTACCTTGCGCTTGCATTTGTACAAAGCTTTGCTGCCCTAATGTGACGCGTGCACTTTTGTTCCTCGGATGCGTGAGTGAGTGAGTGAGTGAGTGAGTGAGTGGGATCAAAGCCACAACGAAGAAGTTACAAAGACAAATCTACCGGCAACTAACTAGAGATCCATGTCCTGAGATAGAGGTAGCCATCTGCCTGAAGCCGTGCTCGAAGCTGATGTCGCAAGGCTGGCTGCGAGAGCCGACAGAGCCGACGAGCTAAGTCTGCAGAGTCCCTGGGCAAAGGAGCACAGGATTCATGCTGAAGCATGAAGCAATTGTCAAACTTGTCAAGGCCGCCTCAGCTGCCCTAGCCTTGCTGAACCAAGCACGTAGGACCTGGATTTGTTTCAGGGCAGTAAATCATAAAATGATGCGAAATGCAACCGAAGCCAGGGCACTTTGATCCCAGCTGTGCCCTGGGCGCGTCATCACGCAAGTTGCTCATGGCGTTCTCACACTCTACATCTCTGCTTTAGACGTCCTAGCTTAAGAAAGGCATCCTCCGTATCTCAAGACTCCTTGCATCATATTTACAAAATGCTCCTACCCTGAGTGTGTACCTGTACGTTTGATTTGAAAGTTTGCGTGTGAACAGAGCTACCAAGGACCAAGACAACATGTGAGCATTGTTGTTTTTCCTTATGAACATTCTTCTAACATGGAGGGCCTACGCGAACT